GTGATCGTGCCATCGGGCACCCAGCGGCACAGACATGCGGAGAAGGGGGTGTGGGACAATGTCAAGTGATTGGCGTGGCCTCATGGAGGAAGTGAGACTTCCAGACAGAAGGCTGATGTAAAGGCCCTGGATAGCACCATGCCTGCAATCTCTGGGGAACAGTTAGGAGCCTGGTGTGGCTAAAGCAAAGTAAATAGGTATGAGGGTTCCCCTAGAAATAGAAATAGGTATGTGTGTGTGTTTGTGTGTGTGGGAGTGTGTGGGTGTGCACACATGCTTAGATAGATAGATAGATAGATAGATAGATAGATAGATAGATAGATAGATGATGGATAGATAGCTGATGGATAGATGATGGATAAGTAGATTATGGATAGATAGATAGATAATGGATAGATAGATAGATAGATAGATACATACATACATACATACATACATATATGATGGATAGATAGATGATGGATAGGTAGATGATGGATGAGTGGATAGATAGATAGATAGATATATAGGTAGCTGATGGATAGATAGATAATGGATAGATAGATGGATAGTTAGGTAGATACATAGATGATGAATAGGTAGATGATGGATGGATAAATAGATAGATATATAGATGATGATGGATAGATAGAGTATAAGAAGGTGCTCACTGTTACAAGGTATTGGAAGCCAGAAGTCACAAGGTCTGCTGTCTGAAAGCTGAAGGGCCAGGAAAGCAGTGGTAGAACTCAGTCTGAGTCTGAATGCCCTGGAACCAGAGGCTTTGAAGTCTGAGGATTGGAAAAGATGGACATTCCAGCTCAAGAAAAGAGACCAAACTCACCCTTTCTCTGGCTTTTTGTTTTGCTGGGGCCCTCAGTGGACTGGATGGTGCCCATCCACACTGGGAAGGTGTCTGCTTCCCTCACTCACTGATTCAAGTGCAAGCCCTTCTGGAGATTCCCTGACAGACAAACCCAGAGACAGTGTCTGCCAGCCATCTGGGCATCACTTAGCTGCATAAAATTAACCATCACAATGACCTTTCCCCCATAAATCATGAGCATTCCCTGGAATCCTGTTCCCTGGCATCAGTGTGGGAAGTACTTGATTAGGAGAAACTGAATCTGCAGTCCTCCAAGAACACGAATCATGTGACCAGTACTGCTTTCTGGAGCTCCAGAAAACGTCATGGGAAGGTTCTAGGGCAGAGCCTGGCTAAGACTCCAGGTTGCAGCCTCCTTGCCTTCACCTGCTATCACAGGCCCTGGACTGGTGTCCCAAACGTGTCAGAGGGGACAAGGGTGGGAGGACTCACAGCAGAGGACTTACTGCAGACTCAGTCACAGGAGGAGGGGTTCAGGCATATTTGCTCCTCAACATACAGGCACAAACATAAGAGATTGTGCTTACATTTCTCTTCCTTCCCAGGCTCAGAGATCTGCTTCTCCTATGAGAAATTGCTAGAAATCTGCTGCTGAGGGAAGGAAGGAGTTGTCATGTGATTTGGATCTGTACATCGTCTGAGATAGATGCACCTACTGTAAGTGAGGAGGAGATATGAGCACGGAGCTGACCCTGTTGACACTATAAGAATTCATCGAAATTGCTCCCCAACATGACACAGAAGTTGACCTTCATTGCCACCTGCAGACCAAAAGCTGAGCTGCAGGTTCCTGGCTTCAGAATAGTCTCTTCGGGGCAGTGACTGGAATTTGTTTTGGTAAAATACCAGCAAACCTTTTATTTACCGGTAGTTACACAAATGTAAACTCCAACAGGAAGTGAACTCAAATAACTCAAATACCAGTGCTTCTGACCAAGGCAAACTTCTCTGTTGGTGTCATTTTGTTCATTTCCGTCATGTTCATTTTGGAAATGGTTGTATGTTTTTGCAGAACAGTACCCAGGAAAAGTTGTGTCCCATTAAGTTTTCTTTCTCACTTTCACTTTTCCTCCCTAAATCTGGGTTTGAACTTGCCTAACACTGCCCTGAACTGTGCAGACAGTGGAGCTTAGTGCCCAACATTTTGAGCAGTTGTTTGTAGGATATCACAAGATAAAAATGTGCTCAAAGGGAATGTAACTACATTTTGAATTCTGGCTGGAGTGAAACCGGGTTACAGGAGACCCTGAACACATCACCCTCTGTATAACATTGCTCCAAAGCTTCCTGGAATAAAAACATGGGTTTTTATATATCAACCACTGCTCATGTATGGAACCCACAACACACACACACAACACGCACACACACCCAGACACTCAAGCACACACACAGTCCATCTGCACACAGATGGACACAAGTTCATGAACACATATACGCACACCAAGATTCTCATGCACACACACAACACTTACACACACTCAGACACTCATGCATACACATAGCACACATACACACAGGTAAACTCATGCATACACATACACACACACCATACACATATGTGTTCACAAACATGCATGCACTAACACACACACATAGCACCTTCTTCAGGCCCATTTTGAGCCATCTCCTCTGCCTGGATCTCCTGCCCTGCCCACGCCCCCCAGTCCCACAGGAGCGGTCACCATGTTACTGTCAGCACCAGCTTACTGTCTCTGGCTCTGACTTTCTGGTTCACTCTGAGATATGAATTGTGGGTAAGATACATAGTGAGCCTCTCTCAGAATGTATGTGAGGATAGTGCTGAGGGGCTGGTGGTGGGATGAAGCTTCTGGTGTGGTCACCAGGGAGGAGAAGGCATCTAAGGGACAGCTTGAGAGTGGCATCTCTGACCTGCACCTATCAAAAGGCACTTCAGGTCTCTCTCTCTCTGAAATCCCCAGGACCAGAACCCCTAGGACTAGAGCACCTATCACTTTCCCCAGAGCCTGGCAGGCTCCCATGGCACTGTGTCTTCTCAGTCTCACAGAGCCTCTCACTCTCCAGAGCATGAACACAGAACCGGCAGGCATTAGGTGTGCAAATGGTATCTCATGTGAGTAGAGAACTTGATCCAGTTCACTTGGCTGACCCTTCTCTTCTGAGCTCACAGCCTCCAGGCAGACCCACGTCCCTGCCACGTGTGGGCTCTGCTCAGGTTGGGTCAGGTGAGTTACCAGGAGTGAAGGAGATGAGGGACTGTGGCCAGAGATGGGTCAAACCAGAGTGCCACACTGATCCAAGGCAGCACCCAGCAGAAGGCCTGTGGGTGTGGAGAGAGCAGGAAACTGAGCCGAGCTGAAGCGCTGGCAGCCGCAGGTGGGTTTGGTGTGGACCTCCAGGGCCCAGGCTTAAGACTTGAAATCCTGGGATGATTCCTCCAGACCTCCTAGATGAAGTGTAACCTCCCTCCAAGGCTCTCACAGTTGGCCCCCACCTGTCTTCTCACCTGTTTTCAGCAGTTCCCCAGCCTCACACTGGGTGGGCGCTCCGTCATCACCTCCCTGAATCATCCTCTCTGCCGGCAGGGCCCCTCCCCACACTCACTGTCTGGAAAAGTCCTTTTTCTTAGAGGCCCAGGTTAAAGGCCCTGCCCTTGAGAAGCCTGTCCGCCCCGCCACCGGCTCTACCTCCAGATCCGGCTGCAGCGGCGCCATTCCCCTGTTGCTCCAGCTCCTCAGACTGGCCTGACAGGAACCAAGTGATCACCCACCAAGTTGTTGGAGATTTTGTATTTGCTCAGCACCTCCCGGTGTACCAGCAGCTGCTCTGGGCCCTGGCGAACCAAACTTAAACAGAACAAGTCCTAAAAAGCCACAGAGCAGTCCCAACATATAAACACTAGGCCATGGAGAAGCAAGAGAAGAAGCTAGACTGGACATAGCTATGAAGCCAGCATGACTGTTCTCTGGCTTCCCTTTGCATCTAAAAATGGACCACAGCTCTTACTCTGCCTTTGAGGCCTTCTGATCAGCCCTATGGTCTGCTTACCTCTTGACCTTCTGCATTGCTCTCCATGCTTCACCCACCTGGCCTTCTGCTGCTAAATGTACATCACGCCCTCTGTGTTGGCTACTCCTCCCCAGGATCACTCCTCGCCCAACTCCTCCTGTCCCTCAGTCTCAGCTCATGTGTTACCTCCTCAAAAAAGGCAGAGTCACCTCCCTGTCACCACGCTGTTACCACCCTCTATCAGGTCAACTGCCCTTGTTTGTTTTCTTGTTTGTTTGCTTGCTTGTTTAGTATTTCTCACACTCAATTCTCAGCTCCAAGGGAGCTCAGCTCTGTTCCCCATTCTATCCCAGCCTCTGGAATAAGCGGGGATACACTGAGGACTGCCATTGACGTCGGATGCTCCACCACGTGCACACGTTATTTCACGCCTCTCCTTACAGGCTCCTTGCCTGTCAGAAGGGGGTCAGGAGCCTCCCCTGTGGGTCGCTCCAGATGAAATCATAGTGCTCTGAAACTCCTTGGCCCATGGCACCTGTCGCACGGATCTGGAGCGATTTTAGGAGAGGAATGGTGCCAGCCAGCAGCCCACCACCTCAGAGCCCGGCACCATGGGCTCTGGCTGGCGCCCTACCACACATCCTCTGTGAGTGGAGAGAGACCGAGCCCTGAGAACAAGTGTCAGTCTGGCTGCAAAGTCTCCAGTCTGTTTCCCAGCTCTAACAGTCACCTCAACATATTGGTTCCACTGGAACCTTAAACTCACCCCGTCCTGTGGAAACCCCCTGCCCATCCCTCACTGCCCCTCTTTGCTCCTCACTCATCTGGACCAGCAGACAATAAAGGCACCAATCATCAGTGGAATGACTGACACATTGTGAAGTGTCTCATAGAAAAGTTGTAAGATTTGAACTAAAGCTGAAACGGTTAGCTGCCCAAGGCATTGCCCGTGAACAGAGGAAGACAGGTGGGTTCTTCCTGGAGTGTCGTGGCTGCTCTGGAAGCTCTGGAGCAGATGGACTAGAGGAGCAGCTGTGGCTGGCCTTCTGGAGACCTCAAGGTTCCCTGGCATTGGACACACGCAGGGCTGAGGCCCTGTATCAGTTCCCTGTTGCCGCTGTAACAAACTCCACAAGTGTAGTGCTGAAAACAACACACATTTAATATTTGACAGCTCTGGATGGCAGGTGCCTGAAATGGCATCATGAGATTAAATCAAGTAGTCACAGCGTTGTTTTCTCCTGGGGGCTTTAGGGAACAATCATTCCCTTGCCTTGTCCAGCTTCTGGACCACCTGCACTCATGCCACAGCCCCTTCCCATCTTTGAAGTTAGCAGCACAGCATCTTCCCACCTCTCTCTGACTCCTGCCCTCCTGCCTCCCTCTTATGAGGACCCCATGAGACATTGCTCATCTCCCTTCCACCTCATAAGCCAAGATGGTCTTCCCATTTCCAGACCTTTAACTTACACAAAGTCCCCTTTGCTTTGTAAGGTGACATATCCCCAGGTGCTGGGGGTCAAGATGTGGACATCGCTCTGCCTACCACTGGCCCGGAGCACATGAGCCTGCTTGGGGGCATCAGGCTGGAACTTTGCCGGCTGCCTCCCTACCGACTCTGTTCAAAGTAGAACACAGTGCGGATGGAAGGTTCAGTCTCCTCGGTGAGTTGAACCGGTTGCTGGGGCTCAGCCGGGCCACAGAGAAACCAGCCGGGCCAGGCTGCAGCCTCAAGCCTGAAGGCAGAACCCAGGCTTCTCTGGAAGAAGGTGAAGCGTTTGGCCTGCTCGCCGCCCTTGTACAGGTCCTCGATACTCACATCCTGGGGGAGGGGGGCGGAGGGGGTGCAAGAGGCCAGCTGCAAGGTGAGGCTGCAGAGGAGGTGGTGAGGGACTGGGCAAGGAGGGACTTTACTGGGAAAGGCCTTCTGAGGGCTGTGAGGACAAGGGTCTTGGCCCTGGGTGCATAGGGAGATGGCGGAAACCTGCAGGAGAGGGACGTGTGGACCTGGCAGGGCACCCACAGGTGGGACCAGAGATGCCAGAGTGCCTGGAGGACAGGCAGCTCTACAGGGTTCCCTAGAATAGGAAGCTTCTCACCTCCAGCTGCAGGGTAGGCCCCTCTCCTGTCTCCACACAGGCCAGGCAGCGCCTGCCTCCCTGGATCCCCAGGAAGATGGGAAGTTGGGTGCGGTCCAGGTCTCTGTTGGGAAGTATGCAGATCTTCTCTGGGAAGGAAGAGAGGAGAGAACCAGGGCATGAGCGGACCCACATCATAAACTCTGGCCGAGCTGTGTTTGGCAGGAATTGGGCCAGGGCAAAGCAGGATGCACTAGGACACCTTCAGGGTCATGCCCTCTTAGTAGGAGTGGGTCTCAGTTATTCACTGTCTCTTCTCACTGTCCCCAGAGGCAGGAGGGCAGGGGTGAGCATGTGGCAGATGGAGCCTGGGCAGGTCCCGGAGGCAGAGGCTCAGGGCTCACCTGCACAGCAGTTGTCTGCATCAGGATCTCCCACCAAGAGTTGGTCGCCTCTTAGGTACAGAGCCTTCTGATCGGCATCCTTAATTCTGGAACAGATGGCAATACTGATGGCACTGCTGAGCCCCAACCCTGCAATCTGATTGCATACTAAGTATCTGGGGTTGTTCTCCTCCTACAGGTGAGAAGGGGCAGGTAAGGACCAGGTTATCTTAAGGCAGGAAAGGCTTCCTGGATCTCATCAGAGGCTGCACCTCTGCCCTTTACAAGGCTTGGGCTCTGTCAGGCCTTCAGGACATTGAGAGGAGAGTGTGCCATTTCACTGGGGGGTAGAGAAGTTTCTGGATGATATAGCCCTTTTCTGCTGCCTTCTGGAGAAATCTTCTCAGGAGGCTGAGATGTCTCAGCATACAGTGAGTCTTCTTCTGGGTTTTCTGGACCTGCCCCAGTTATCCATAGATGTTTATTCTCTTATTAAAGGAATTAATTGAGTGTATATTGAAGTGTGATTTGCTTTTCAGCTATCTAAGCACTCTTTAATAGAAGAAAATCCATAAATTGGGGAAACAAATTCTAAGTGATAGTAAATAAGCCACACAGTTCTCTGTACCCAGCAGGAGAGCTCTGGGACACCCATATTATGGAGGCCAAGTAAAGGGGTCGGCAGAAAGCTGGAATGGCCTGATGACAGCCACTGGGCTTGGCTTTGGTGGTAATAGTGGCCTGGGAGGGTGACTGCATGCCTGGAGCTGAGAAACCATGCTGAGTGAGCATGTGCATGGCTATTAGCTCAGTTGCCTGGCTGGTTTCAGAGACATTTGTCAGCCATTCTCAAGCCCGAGGAGCTTCCTTATTTTCCAGGGCAGAGGCTCAGAGCCAACGCCACTGCCTCCAGGAGAGCTTCCTTTCTCAATAACAGCTAATTACAATACCCTTAGCTAATGACTATGTGTTTAAAGCAAGTTCACTTACACAATAAAAAATAAACATCTGCCGAAACCGGTTTGGCTCAATGGATAGAGCGTCCGCTTGGGGACTGAAAGGTCCCCGGGTTCGATTCTGGTCAAGGGCATGTACCTTGGTTGCGGGCATACCGGTGGGAGGTGTGCAAGAGGCAGCTGATCAATGACTCTCTCTCATCGATGTTTCTGACTCTCTATCTCTCTCCCTTCCTCTCTGTTCAAAATCAATAAAAATATATTTAAATAAATAAATAAATAAATAAATAAATAAATAAAATAAAAATAAACATCTGAGGAGCCTGGGCTTGCCAACTGGTCCTCCAAGACAGTGTGGAATGCATCTGCTGGCCAGAGTTGTTTGGAGACCTGAACCCAAGCTAGATACCCCAAGGTAGGCATCTGTCTTGTCATTTCCATGTTTTGTATATGTGTCATGACTTCCAGCTGCGGTGTGACTTCCTGGAGCCCCCGACTGGCCCATGTTGGGACAAGATGTCTGTGCAGGAGCTGAGGACAGGCACCCCAGTGGCCAGTGTATTTTATTTTCATTACATCCCATCACCTTCCCTAAGGGCTGGGGTAATTTGCATAGAAAGTCATAGACAGTAAAGAGTAAACTAAGTAAACACCAAAATGTCAAACAAGAAAAAATGTAAGTAAGACACAGAAACCCGGATTAGGAGTGAGGCCACAGAGGCCAGCACATGGAGATGTTGTCACTGAGACGCAGAATGATCCCTCAACTTTCAGAAAGAGAATAGAGCAGCACAGAGGATGTGCAGTCTGGGCCCTGGCTCTGGGTGACATCCGCGAATTTGTTTAACCTCTGAGCCTGTTTATCGATCTGTAAAATGAGCTTAGTAACAACCTTTCATGGATTTCTTAGGATGGAGACAAGACAGTAAATGGCTGGCATAGTGCAGATGCTTAGGAAAGAGACTATTGTTATTGGGGTTGTGATTAAGCTTAATTACAGGGCATTGAGGTTTCTAGGGTAAGAAGGAGGCTTGCCATTCTGCCTTGGCCTCTTTCCCTCTCCCGAATCATCCCCAGGCTCCTGACCAGGAAAGGGAGAACTTACATGTAGTATCTTGCCATGGGGAGGGAGCACATTTCTCCAATCCCAGGTGACTGGTCCTTGAGGGAAAAGAGAGAAGGACTGTGAGAGGAGGGCAGTGGAGCTGGGGCAGACACCCCATGCGCCCCAAATCCCCAGGCACAGGATGGAAGATCCCACCAGGCCACTATTCCATGACTGGCCCCCTAGTCCACTGAGGTCTCCCTAACCCCATACACTCCAGGCAGCGCTGGCCCCTCTCATTTGGGCATCTGGGAACAGGTCGAGCTGGCAGGGGTGTGAGCTTGAGAGCGTGCCCTAGTTCCAGCCCTGCGAAATCAGAGAATACATTCTCCAAATGATTTCTCTAGGAGCACTTCCCATGCTGAGCTGGTGGTGGTGAGCTGGAGCCTCACAGCTTGAGGATGGGCTCACTGGAACCTCACCCCACTTCCCAGAGATATAGTCACCACAGCCACCCTTCCCTCTGAGCAGGAGGTGTGGACCCTGCCCTGCACAGTGAGACAGCTTGTTCCGAGGGACTGGTCGCCTTGCCCAGACTCTGGAAGAGAGAGACCATCCAAACCCTGACAAGCTCCTGCCACTACACCACGTGGAAACAGGACAGGCTCAGGTTCAAGGTATGAGTGATCGAAACTGAAGCCAGTGTCCCCATATAAACCCAGGCCACAAAGCCTCTCCTTCCAGCCAGGTAATCTGCCCCAGAGCTTTGTCCTAAAATGACCTCCCAAAGGGCTGGTCTGGAATCTAGTTTGAAAGAACCAGAGCAAATTAGGGCCTGAGTGTGGTAAGAGTTGGAAAATAGCCTGGAAAAGTAAAATGCAAGGATGGCTAGGGCTGAGGTTTACCGAGCAGGTAAGATTCTCACCAAGAAGGGGAAAGAGAAGAAATAAGAGAGCAGAAAATAGAGAGGGTGGGAGGAGGAGAAAATTGGTAGAAAGGAGCAGGGCTCAGAGAGGGAGAGGGAAGTGACGAGGATGTGTGGAGGCAGGTGAGAGGACAGGTTGATGCTGATGGTGGGCTCCAGCTGCTGCAGCAGCACTGAGCTCCAAGGCCTGGGTGTGAGAAGTGGTGAGACTGAGACAGCTTTAGAGCTGGATCTGCCTCAGTCCATTTCTTGTCTCTGGGCTTTGCAGTCTGAGGGTTCGTGGGAGTAAAGAATAACAGGGAGCCAGGCAGGACTGCAATTCTGGAAGGTACTGGTGATGTGATCAAAGTATTAAAAAAGCCTTTTGTGCTTCGTAAGTTCATCCATTGCCCTCATTCTAATGAAATATAAGAGATTGCCCAAACATTTAGTCACAAATGAAGTATGGTAGCAACCATACTTGGGTAAAAACTGCTGTTTGAATTTTAACCCTGCTATTCTGGCTTCGGCACTCGCTTACTTGCTTAAACAATAGGGTAGTTGCCTCAGCTTCCAGATTGAGACCTGGAGGCTAAGGCAATTTTCCTGTGCCTGTGGACCAGGACCACAGGAGATTGATTCCCACTGACTCGGTAGCTTCAGGAGTAGAAACTGCAGATAACCTTTAGAGATTAACCGCTCAGGTCTGCTTGTGTACTACAATATCTGCTATCCCAAGATAGGGCCACATTCCAATGTCTAGCAGGATGTAGCTGGGAGCCACCTTGGGGGTTGTTCCCAGACTTTAGAATTTAGAATTCAGAATTCAGAACAAAGGAAAATCCTTGTGGTTTAGACCTAAAGGATTGCCTACACCTGGAACGGCGCAGTCGTGAGTGTGGCCACCTGTGTGTGGTGCTCTTGCGGCTGTCCTGGCCAGTTCAATAAATCCATGCCTGCTTTTTTAATCTATTAGCAGCCTCTGGTGGTCTTATTCTGACTCCAGGGTATGACCCCACAACAACAAAGATCTTCACTATATAGACTTTACAATAGCAGGAAGTTATGAATAATCTAAATATTCAATAATAGGCCATTGATTTTAAAATTATGGCAAATTTAGTAAATAAGAAAAGTATGTGTACATTAAATATGATATTGTAGAAGATATATCAAGTGAAAAGTGCAGGATATAAATCATGCATAGGTTATGATGCCACTGAAACCCACAAGCATTCAAAGACACAGAAGCAAAGGATGCCCACATTGCTACAGCACTGATCTGTGGTAGCAAGATCATGAATGGTTTTTTTTGTTTGTTTGTTTTTTAAGATGTTAACATTCTTCCTATATATAATAAATATGAATTTCAGTTTTAGTATAAAGTAAAGTAAGTTTAATTTTCTTTTTAATCCTCACCTTAGGATATTTTTCCATTGATTTTTTTTTTCTTTTTTGAGAGTGGAAGAAAAGGGAAGAGAGAGAAAAACATTGATTGCTTGGACCCCAACTTGGGTCCAGGGATTGAGCTTACAACCCAGGTACATGCCCTTGACCAGAATCTAACCTGGGACCCTTCAGTCCAAAGACCAACACTCTATCTACTGAGCCAAACTGGTTTCAGCAGTTTTAATTTTTTTAAGTGAAGCATTCAGATAAAGTCACTGGCTCCCAAAAGTGCCTGCCCTTTGAGTCACCTAGGGGTTCTTGATGAGTCTTTCCTAGGCTTGGTGTGATCCCAGTGATCAGCTAGGCTAGCTCCATTCTCTCTCTGGTGAACATGTCATTCATTGGCAGCTATTGCTAAAAGCAGATTCTGATTCCCTCAGTCTGGTGTGGGACCTGAGACTCTGAATTTCAAACTCGCAACCAAGTGCCAATGCTGCTGGTCCCTGGACCAAACTCTGAGTAGCAAAGCACCGGATGATCCCCCAGCCTAGAGAGGACCCCAGCAGCATGGCCTCGACAAAGCCCACCTGATGCAGTGCTCTCTCTCAGCCAAGCTACATGGGATCTTTTGGTTGTGGCAGCAAAAGTATACGCATCCTGGTAGCTGTGCCAAGGTCTGGCTGGGGCAGACCCAGTGAAGCTGGACCAGCAGGATTCCCATAGTCACTATCAGCTCAAAGAACTGGCAGAAATTCAGGGCAACTGAGTGCCCCCTGGAGCCCCAGAAGCCTCCAGTCCTGGCATAGCCCCAAATTCCAGTGTCTCCCCTATAGGCTCCCACATCAGCTCCTGCCTGGGTCCTGGCTTCACGGTGATGGAGTGAGGAGGAGGGAAAAGTTCATATTTAGTCCATCAGGGAGCTCAGGGATCTCAGTCCCTCCCAGTGTGTCACACACTCCATCCCCAGAGCTTTTCCTTCTCTTTTGCCCCCAAGTGGCCTTTCACTGGACTTTGTCCCGTACCTCTCCTTAAACACCATCTCTGGCTGTCACAGAGTTCATCAGTTCTCCTGTCCTGGGTCACATACCAGCACCAAATAGCCCCAGACACTCTCCATGCTATTTGCACACCATCCCCATCCTATCTTCTTTTTGGTCTCCTGCATGTGAATATGTTCTCTAAAACCCACATTAGTTTCTATGGCACCAAATCTGGACTCTTTCTCAATCCTCTGATAGTTGGCCATTGCCCCTTGGAACCCTTGGTTGACTGCCTCCCTTCACACCTCTGCATGTCCTCTTCTCAGATGGTGTAGATTTGCCCTTCCTTTGGAAGCATTCCTAACACTGGAAGCCACAAGTCAAAGTCCTAAGCCCTTCTCTTTCATTTCCCAGAGTTTCAATTCACCCATTTCCATAACTGCAATGATCATGTTAGTTTACACCTCCAAGTCCAGACTGAACACCCCAGTTTATCTCCAGCAGCTAAAGGACACCCCCTTCTGGACATCTTGCCATCACACCCAACCAAATATTTCTAAGGTCAAATTGATCACCTCTTGCCCACCCACCCCCAGTCCAATCTCCCTCCCAGTTTTATTTCTCCCTCCTACACAATCTTCCTCCAGCCAGTGAGATTCAAAAACCTGAGAGTCATTGACCATTTTGCCCACGTCTCCTGACTCTGTTTAATTTATTAACAAGTTCTGATACATCAGTGGTTGGCAAACTCATTAGTCAACAGAGCAGCAAACCGCGGTACACAAGCCGCATGTGGTTCGAGAGCTGCAGTTTGCTGACTACTGTGATAGATTATTCTTTAAAATTAACTTTTATTTCTTAACAGCCATTAGACCTTGCCTGTGTTCCTGGTTTTCCTACCTTCAATCCAGACCAACATGGACTCATCTTCTAAGTACTGCTCTCACACATCCCCACCCAGCTCTACAATCCACGGTGGCTGCTCTTTCACCACCCTCTGGCCCAGATCTATTTGTATGAGCGTGTCTCACTTCTCTGTGGACACTGAGCCACCCCTCCAGGCATACAACTTCTTTCTACCTCCCAATGGCCACACTTAGGGCTGTCTTTGATTCCTCTGTCTCAAAAGTCATTCCTCCTCACTGCTGTCCACTCTGACCTATGTCATTAGGGTCACTGAACATGGAATCATTATCTATAGGTTAAATGTCTAGTTCTGCCAAATTAATTGGCAGCTCAGAGTAACAAGCCATACAAGTTCACTTAACCTCAATCCTCAGTTTCAGCATCTATAAAATCATGAAGTTAGAGTATGTGGTTATTAAGAATCAGATCAAACTATCTATGATGCCGAGACTCAGAGTTTAATAAATCTTTACTATTGCACCCTACTCTGCACTCCTATTAAATTTCACTGTATTGTTTATTGTTCTATCTATAGACATTGGTTTCCCTTATAAAAGTTAACACTATCTTGAAGCCATAAAGCATGGCTTGTAGCTCCCTCCAACCTCCTTCTGACACAAGTGGTGCTCATGGGCAGGACACAGAGCCACACAGCGAATTCAAATGGCAAAGTGGGCTCAAGACCTAGCGCTGCTACTCATTTGTATTCAACCTTGGAGAGTCCCCTTTATCCCGGCCTCCAACTTACTATCATTGGAACGAGTGGCTAGCCCAGACAGTACTTTTAAAAACTAAGTTTTACACAGAAACTTGAATGAAAATGGATAAAAGGGGCCTGCTTTTGCTGAGTCAACATGTGATGGAGTCAGCAGAACATGCAAGCATTATCCTTGAGCACTACAGTAGGCACTGGGGTACCTTAAAGAGTCCAAACCTCACCAAGCACTACTGAACACCACTGGCCTAGAAAATTCCTCTGGCATTATATCCTAAAGCATATAGTTCCAAATATTAACATTATCCTGATTCAACTTTCTCCTCCAATTCCTTCTATGTGCCCCGGAACTTCCCCAGTATCCCATGGTGTTCTGTGGATAGAACATTTTTCCATCTAGAGAGTTGCCAGGAGGAGTTAAAGAAAGGGCATATTGGGATGTTGATAGAAGGAAGAAGAAAATAGAGAGAACATTGCCTGCCCACCACTGACCTGCAAATCCTCAGTGCCTGGAACCACCAACTGACTTCTCCAGGGCACCTGCCTGCCTTTATACAGTCTGATCTGGTAGGTTGGGCCTGCAGCATCTTTAAAATTGGCTCCAGGATGGGGAAGAAGAACCTGTGGATTTCACAATGTCTACAGCAAATATGGGTAATGAGAAGGTGGGGGTATTAATGAATGTTTGTTTGCAGAAGCTCAGCGCTGGGCCCCTGCTCATAGCTACTGTCATTGACACTGTTATTGGTGGCTTGGGCCACTAGATAAACAATGCTGGCATCAGATGTCCTCAGGTTGCCTTCCCTTTGGTACCCATGGGCTCCATTCTAGACTTAAAGGTGGCAGAGGCAAGTGGAATGAGTCCAAGGGGCCTGAGGGGAGAACAACCTCTGATGGCTGAAGCCAGGCAGCATGGAAGTGGGGCCTGAGCGCATATGAGCTTGACCCTGTTTGGAATGATGGGAGGTACATCCAATAGCTGGAATCAACTTGATGATACAGAACATCTGACAAAATCCATGCTCAAAGGACATTAAACTTAGATAATCCTGAACTGACCAGGTGCCATGTGCCCTGGATGACTAAGAGTGCATGACATGGAATGAGCAGGGCCAGGGTAAATACTCGGCCCCTAACTGACAGAACTTATTTCAGTCCATCCATCTACACATCTGTCCATCCATTCGTCCAGCTACCCACTCACAAGGGGAAGAATACTTAGGTGTAGTGTTCTCTGGGGATCAATGCCTTATTGTAATTCTTCCTCTAAAGACATTTTCAAAGTTCCACGCATGGCTCCAGGGAGGAAGTGGGAGAGGCGATCTAACACCCCAATATCTGCAGAATGAGAGATAAGAAAAGATGGGCAGGAACAGGACCAGATTTCTGTTTTCTAAGGCCAGCAGTCATTCTTGACCCCCTCTCTCAGTCTCTTGCCCCTCTGTGTAAAGGGCCAAAGCGTGGGGTATGATTCCAGGCAATCAGTGAATGTTTATTCACACTGCTATATGACAAAGACATCCATTACATATCCCTGTTAAGTAACTTTATAGTCCATCTGGGGAGCTAAGTCATAAACACTTGAAAAGTCAATTAAGAAAACCAGACTCCAATCTGTGGGCCAAGGGCATATTGGGTTAGAGACAATACAGATAAATAATTTCCTTGAGTGAGAAACCAAATTTATACAATTTTAAGGCTCTTAGACATGACATAATGGGTGCTACAGCATCTCTGAATAATAGGGTAAGCAGGCTCTACTTCAATACCTCCAGGGCCAGAGACCTCACAACCTCTTGGAAAAATCCTAATAGTGTGTGTGGTCATTATGGTTAAAATTTCCAGGTCACACAGGAAAAACAGCTCTATCCATTCATTGGTCTTGCTTGTGTGTTCTGGAGTCACATAGAATGAGTGTATTCTCCTACTAAGAGGTCTTGTAGTCCTTGAGGAGGGCTCTCCCTGTACAGCTTCTTCAGGATATGAGCCCTCAGCACTTCTGCTTCTTCCCTTAGGCATGGTCTGGGACCCTCTCTGCTCTTCAGGACAACTATTGTCCTTAGTGATGACAGCTGGCACAAACTACATATGTCATGGGTATATACCTCTGTAAATACTGGCTGAGGCTGGAAGAAATCTAAAACAATGAGACCTGTTTCATTTGAATGCCATGATGCCAAGACCTCTGGTTCATATACACAGCATTTTACATTCTTTCCTTTTCAATCAACATGTCAGTTTGTAACCAAAACCAAGGTTTGGCTATTTGGTGCCACAAAAGCCAAACTTGTGAGACAGGTGCTGATGAAAAAGGAAAGAGGTTTATTCAAGTGTTAGTCACCTGAGAAGACGGGGGACTCTTGTCATAGCCCATCCCAACATCTCAGTGCAGGCAGCATTTATATAAGGAAGGAAGAGGGAAAGCAGAACAAAGAGTTCAAGGAGATGGTTTTGAAAAGTCATTCTACATGCAGACCAGTACAGTCCTTTCCAATAAGGATCTTGGTCAAGTGACAATCTGGTTTGTATCATCGTGGTTTTACAGTTGAAGGTCAGGGACAACTGAAGGTGGAGTCTGTATATTCTAAAGTTAGTTCCTAGGATTCTTATACAAATATGCTGTTTATCTACAAGCAACATACCAGAGTCAGCACTTACAGAAACAAAGTCAAAAGAATGGTGGGGTGGTTACAATTCCCCTGCTACATGCGCATCCCTGCTAAATCCCTTTTGAGTTTTATCATCCTACAAGTGATAAAGAGCCACTTCAGGCTGGAGAAGCTTCAAGAATGAAGGAATTTCAGCTCCTCCTAAGGGTGGGGCAGCTGAAATTTAGATGGAGGAGGGAAGAGAATGTTTCAGGTAAGAAATGGCTCCCACATCCCACTCACTGAATTCCAATTGCCAAAGACTATGCAAGGTACATGGAAACAAGCTAATGCAGCCTTGACTTTGAGGTCAAATTAAGGACCAGAGACCCCAAGTCAACTTATTACAGTGAGGGGAAGGTCACATAGAGGTACATGTAAGACAGTGTTGGAACAGATGGCCAGGGATCTCAATTCAGCAGAAGCTCCTCAGAAGAGGTGATAATCAGGGACCATGGCTGGGCCAGTGGGCACAGAGTGTGAACTGGATCTACAGAAATAGCCTGGTGCCTGGAGCCATGTTCTCAGCCCTGAGGCCTGGGAGGCTGAGGCTAAAGGTCTAGGAGGCATACTCTCTGGTCCGGTCAACCCGTGCTAGTCCTTAGTGGAATCCATGCTGGTCTGACAGGTGAGGAGCAGGTGCAACACCTGCTCAGATTTGAGCCCCTCCCTGGCCTCTGCTCTCATCCCCAGGGTTTACGTGGGAACACTGGGGTCACAGTCCTGGCACACATGGCTGGAGGTGCAAAGGTAGTCAAAGAAGAACTGAATCTTGCAGAAACAGAGAATATTTGGCAAATTTAGTATGATCAACTTTTAAATAGAACGTTTAAAGAAGTAAAGGGGCCAATGTTCACTTTGAGAAGAAAAATGAAAATATTGGAGAAAATTGCAATCATAATAAAATAAATGCATTTACTTCTTTTCCCTGTGTATTAGTCATCTATTGCTGCCTAACAAGTGACTCCAAAAGCTTAGTCATTTAAAGCACCAGATGTTTTTCTTCTCACATGCTCTTGGGGGGACAGGGTGCCTACAGCAGCTTGGCTGGGTGGTTCTGTGTCACTGTCCTCTGTGGCAGCGTCATGGCTGCCTGACCAGGGCTGGAGGGGCGTTTCCATGCTCATTCATGTGGCCCTTGGCAAGAGGCTTCATTCTTCACCACTCGGGTCTCTGTTGGCTGCTTACAACACACAGCTGCTTCCCCAGCTCAAGGGAACAAAGAAATGAGAGAGACCAACGTAGTTTCAGAAGTGGCACCATGTTCCTTCTGCCATATTCTACTGGTCACAGAGAGGACTGGTGCAATGTGGGAGGGGACACAGTGTGAGAGGAATATTCATTTCCTAGGGCTGTCATGAGCAATTATCACAGACTTGGTGATTTAAAACACCGGGGAAATGCACTCTCTCAGCTGGGGAGACTGGCAGGACAATGCTACCTCCTGGAGGGTGCCTGGGCCATGGCACTCCTGCCTTATTGTAGCTCAGCTCCAGTCTCTGCCTCAGTCTGCACACAACCTTCTTCCCTGGGCCCCCTGTTCTTACCACGACAGCAGGCATATTGCATCCATATGCAATGAGGGTGGGGGTGAGAGCATGAGGGTGGGGTTGGAGAAGGCACATATGATTGCAGCTGAATTAGGGAAGGGGAAGGGACTGGGACTTGGGTCCCTAACCCTTTATCCTGCACAGGGGTAGTGATGGGACCCCATGTAGGCAGCTGGTGGCCCTAATAGGCTCAACTTGGGATGGGGCTGGCCTGTGGGGTTTAGGGCACTGAGCAAAGTACCATGAAGCATGAGGATTCCCACCACTCCCCTTTTTTACCTCGTGTCATTTTTGCAAGGTTCCATACCAAGAACACTGTGAGGGGCCCATCCAATACAGCATGGCTTCAACCAATTGTACCTGGAAAGGCCCTATCTCCAAATAAGGTCACAGTCTGGGGTTCAGAAGGATGTAGATTTAGAGGGACATACTCAACCAGCACTGGAGTCCCTGGGAGGCTGAATCTCACATCCTGAAACCTCAGGGACCACTTCCAGTCAAAGTGCATGGTATTCTCTCTGTCGGTTCCCTCCCCAGGAGACTCCAACCACAGGCACCCACCAGGCCCTCCTTCCCAGCCTGCTGAGATCTGAACTGAAGGCAACCACCCTATCTCACTCCCAGGAAGTGGGAGCTGAGGACAATCAGAAATGATGTCTGCTCTGCTCACCTCAAAATTAATTCTTCTGATCATGACACAGGTAATCCATCTTCAGTGTAGGACAATTAGAATATACAAATAAATAAAAAGAACAACAACAAAAAGTCACCTAATACCAGCAGCCTGACATTGCTAAAATTGAAGTAAACTCTTGAAGACTTTTTCTTATATTTTTAATTAAATATGTATTTTTAATTAAAATGGAATTATAAGATATGCCACTGTGTAACTTGCTCTTCTTGCTTAATGTGTCATGAGCATCTCCATGTGACTAGACACCAGCATCTTGGATTTTAATTGTACCTTGGGTTTCAGAAGGAGTGACTGCCTGTCCACCCTCGGTCTTCTGAGCTGGAGCCATGCCCTTGGGCACCACCACCCTGAGAGCATGAGGGTGGGGTGGAGAAGGCACATATGATGGCAGCTGAATTAGGGAAGGGGAAGGGACTGGGACTTGGGTCCCTAACCCTTTATCCTGCACAGGGATAGTGATGGGACCCCATGTAGGGAGCTGGTGGCCCTAATAGGCTCAACTTGGGATGGGGCTGGCCTGTGGGGTTCAGGGGCACTGGACAAGGTACCATGAAGCATGAGGATTCCCACCACTCCCCTTTTATACCTCGTGTCATTTTTGCAAGGTTCCATACCAGGAGTACCACCCAGCAGGGAAAAAACTTGAACTAATCACCAAATCTAGAAGAATTTACGCAAACTAGGAATCAGGAGAAGGGAGAGTGACCATGTGTCGAGTCAGTCAAGTGAGGGCCCGAGAACAGAGGAGGATGGTCGTTTGGCCCTCCTCCTCCTCCTCCTCCACTCACCCCTGGGGGCTTTGCCCCTGGGTCCTGGGAGATGGGTTGCCCTAGTCACATTGCTGGAAGTAGAAGTCCATGATGGGGTGGTCCCAGCTGGCATCCCCTGGAAGCTGGGTGAGCCTGAGAGGCTGGTCTGCTTCGGGCGCAGTGCAGAGGAACCAGCCCGGGAAGGCAGCCGACTCGAATCTGGAGGTGAGCCCCGTGTCCCGCCTGTAGAAGGTGAAGCCCCTGGAGCCCTCTGGGCTGCGGTAGAGCTCCATAATGTCCACTGGCTGCAGGTAGAGGGTACAGCAGGTGAGGGTGTGAATGGGGTGGCGAGGAGGGCTGGGACGAGGGCTTGGAACACAGAGGGCAATAACAGAAGCTGGTGGGAGAGGCGCTCGACCTTGGCCTCAGCATTGGCTGCTCAGTGGAGCCCATTGAACTCACCTCTAGTTTCAGAATCGGTTCCTGCCCAGTCCCACACGATAGGCACTGGCTCCCTCCCTGGACGCCCAGGATGACTGGAGAGAGGCTGCCATCCAAAAACCGATTGGGGACAACACTGATCTCCTCTCCTAGAGGAAGGAAGCCAGATGCAGGGCCTTGCCTGCCTTTCCTCCCACTCTCCGCCCACTCCCACGCCCCGTCGTGGACTTGGGGGAGCAGGTCTCTGTGAGGCATGCTGTCCCTGGGCCTCAGCAGCTGTCATGTGGGGAAAGGTGCTCTCCTGCCAGCTGGGCCGAAGACATCAAGGCATAGAGCACATTGTACCATCTCCCGCCCCCTCCCCCACCTTCTTGTCCATGATCAAATCCTTAAGCCTTCACCAACCCTCACAGGACCCTGACCTCCTCCTTTAATACCCTCCACACTTGGCCTCTCCTCCGAGTTACTTGAATATTATTCTATCCCCTGGGAGATGCCTAAGAACAGGAGAGAGTCTCAATCGTCTGGGCCATTCCCCCCATATGCACACATGTGTGCACACAGGCACTCAGACACATGCACACATATGGCATGCACACACAGCCTCGCAGAGGGTCTGCCTGGCCCCAGGCCCGGCGAGCCTGTCCCAGGCGGGCAGGTGAGAGCTGTTGCAGAGAGAAGGGCCTGCCTCTCGCCATGTGTGGCACAGAATGAGTAAGCACCAGGCCAAGGGTGCCACCTGTTCTCAGGGTCCTGCCACTCTGAGTGACCAGGGGTCACCTAGAGCACAAGGGAACCAGGCTATAGGTACAGAAACTCGCCCCCGGGGAAATAAAGGCCCAGGGAGCCTGTCAGGTTCTCCCAGCACTGGATGTGTCCCAGGACAAGGATGTGTGGCCTAAGTCCAGTTGTGAGGACAGGACAACGCATTTGTCTTAGAAAACAGCCCCTACATCACCTCCCCCTGCACAGTGGCTCCAGGTTGCACTGGGCACATGTCTCGCATTGCAGGGAGGTGTCACTCTTTTTGTCCTTGCGAGAAGCTGGGCTTCAGGGAGCCCTGGCTATTGTGTCAGGCCTGGGTTTTGCAAGGCTGTTCTAAGCCCTCCCAACCCCTCCCCTCAGAGCAGAGCCCCAGGGAAGAAGGGTCTGTTGCCACCTACCTTTCAGGACCTTCCCTGCATGCACCCCACCCGCCAGCAGCTGGTTATCCTGCAGATAAAGCACCTTCAATGCTGCATCCTTCATTCTGGAACATCAGAACAATGACACTCGGTCAGGGAAGTGGGAGTGGGGAGTCCAGTTTGACGTGCACCAGAGTTCCCCAGTCCCAGGCACTGTCCTCCTCTGCCCGCTGTGCCAAAGGAATGGCAAGACCTTCTTCCAGCCCCACTGGCCCCACAGCCTCCCACAGAGCCTGGGGTTCACTTCTTCACCCTATTCAGTCTTTCCTACACTAAGCAGCCCCTTGGGTGTCATGTTGGAAAGTTGGAGTCCCAGGTCCCCGTCCTGCTCTGCCAGCACGGCTGCCAACTTGCAATGGACAAACCGCTCAGAGTCGGTTTCTGCCCAGTCCCACACGGCAGGGCTGGTTTACCCATCACACGCTAAGACAGCGAGTTCAACATGCCCGGCTCTCCTCGATGAAAATCCCACGCTCAGTCGTCACTGAAGACATCAGGGGCTTTCCTTCTGCTCGGCCACAGATGCCCTGCCACCGTCAGAATGTCTTTCATGTAAAATGCTTTTCTTTTACTTTTCACATGTGAGCTCAGCTGATTCCTGGCGTCCCGTGAGGTGAAGGTGTGTCCAGTGGGGATTCCCCAGACGCCACGTGGAATAAAGTGCACTGTGTACACTGGCTCGGTGTCGGTTAATGTGGACAAATCTCTGCCTCAGAGTTCCTCAGACTGTGCCACTCACAAGGAGCCATAAAGAGCATGTCTTGCACTCACTCTGTTGGGAAGTCCCCTGTGTACAGCGGCTCGCAGGACTGGGCTCCAGGGAACACACTTTGGGAAAAGCTGTTGAGGCTCTGAGTGCAGTGAGAGTGAGGACGGATGTCATTCATGGCTACAATGTCCAGAGCGTAGCCTAGGGCCCAGTCTCACACACCAGAGGGCAGACAGACTGCCTGACAGTCGTTTTGTTGCCGTGGTTCTTTTGTCCCGAAGGCAGCAGGGCCAGTGGGGCAAGGGCCAGGGATGCCAGGTCATGCCGTGGCATGACAGGCGGTCTCCTGACTTGATCTCAATATGGACGCAGGAGGCTGCAGCTCCACACAGGGGGCCCCTGTCCCTCTGCCCACAGAGGAGCCCCTGAGGGGCTGCCCAGGGAGAGGCTGGAAGAATGTGTCTTGGGAGGGGGAGGGAGGAAAGGGTGGGGAGAGCTATTCTCAATGGCCCACTGCCCACCCCTCTTGGGGAGCTGCAGCTCCCCTGGGCCAGGCCTGTTCCTCCCAGAAAAGGCTGGACAGCATGCACCTGCGCTGTCCCCAGGACACAGCCATTTCCGAGGCTCATACTCACCGGAAGCACAGGGCTCCGCTCAGAACCATCCTGCCCTTCGGCGTGCGGACCGTCCTTTCTCGAAATAATTGGTGTTAGGAGGAGACAGGCTGAGCTGGCAGGGGCCTCTGACCACCAGCGTGTGAGCTGCCCACACTGAGCAGGGGACCCTGGTCTGGGGTCAGGAGAGAAGCCCAGTCCTGCCAGGAGGATGGAACGAGCTCCAGGGGCCACCTGAGAGCACCCCGTTCTCCTGGCAGAGCCACCGTGTCTGCCTGCTCCTGCGGGGACTGGGCAGCACAGGAGGCCTAGCCTTTAATAGCATGCCAGGGAGGGGCCTGAAACTGCCCCAGACAGGACGAGCAGGGTTCCCCACGTGGCTTCACACCCCCCTCTCTCCCAGGGAAGGAAGGTTCTGGAGACTGTCTTCCTCCCAGCAATTCTGACCATTTCTGGGGTTTCCAGCTCCCACTGAACACTGGGTTCCTGGGCCTCAGGTCCTTCCAGACCCAAAAGTGTCAGCGCAGAAGCAGCTCAGGGAAAGTCAACTAACAACCCCCTTCCTCCCTCTCTCTTACCTTCCCTGCTTTCTCATCCCTCTCTCCTTCTTTCCTCCCTCCCTCCCTTCCTCCCTCCCTTTATTTCCTCCTCCCCTCAATCCTCCAGGCCTGTGGAAGGTGCTGGAGGTGGGGCTCTCCTGCTTAGATGTTTAAGTCTGCATATTCATTGTAGAAAAACTTGAAAATCCAGGTCAGCAAAGAAGAAAAATGTGTGCCTTCACTACCAGAGCAAGGCCAGAAACCCCACACGCACAGCTTTTCCTCTGCACACGGGGAGCTGCCCGCCGCCTTCACACACCTGCATCGCAGGACCCACACTCTTCAGCCTGCTGCTCATGTAGCAAAACCGCAGAGTACCTTGCCTTACCAAACATAAATAATGATGTCCTCGCATTCAATGGCTGTTCAGTAGTCCATTGTATAGAGGCAGCATCACGTATTTAGAGTAATCAATCATCGTTAGTCCTTTGCATTGTGCTTATCATTTGCTATTGGAAATCAGGTTGTGACAAACATATTTGTATCAGCTTCTTGGCTCATTTGTCATAGGATTTCCTTAGGAAATAAAATCGATCTCATGCTCTCTGTGATTGATCTTTCTTCAGTCCCTAAACAGTAAAATAATATGTGATTGTGTAATGATTCAGGCAATGTTCATTCAGGCAATTCATCCATATACTCTCTGATCGATTTGAATGAAAGGTAAGGGTCCAAGCGTAATAATAAACAGTTTAATTATGTCTTGAGTACCAGTGATAATCATTGACTGTTAAGGAATAAATTTTTTAAATTGTGTTCAGGCTTATTGGGCTAAATGATCCTTACAGTGTTCAAGGATAAATAAAACATGAAGTTGTTCAAAAGTTAGAAAATAATCTTCTGTCCTTCACATAATGCTCCTAATATGATAAACCCCTTTCAGAAAAACAAAAGATGTAGAGGTTACCTTATTTCAAAATTATTAAACTGATCAAACAAAAATGACACTGAAATAGTGCAAAAAGTAATAAAACCAGAAAGAAATTCCAGAATTTGTTGTTCTATAGGCAAAGTGACTTTAAGCAAACAGGCTTTTGTTTGCAAAGTGACTATACAGAAGTGGATATTATTTCACCTAAAAAGGTAAAATGCCATATGCCCAGGCTGCCTCCTCTGAGCCCCTGGCCCCAGTGAATGGCACGGTGTGCCCAGGACAAGCCATGGCTTCACTCTTTCCTCCTTCTGCCTAGAAAGGAATGACGCCAGTGCTGGCCTTGTCTGCCCGTGGGGTAGAGAGGGGTGGGAGGGAAGGGGAGGGGGAGGGTTAGCACTTAGCATAAACCCACAGACACCTGCTCTCTGCACCCCATGTGTCCCCTCCTCCTGCACTCCTCCCAGGTGTGCCAAGAGGACTCTGAGAACGTGGCAGAGACCAGGTTCACATTGACCTAAATGTGAGGCTGGTTCAAGACCAAACATTTGCTAACACGTCTCACCTGCCCCCGAGGGGGAGGAGGCCGGCTCGGCTGGCTGCCCGGCTGGGGCATACGCGGTGGGGCTTTCAGATTACTCACAGGGAAGGCTAATGTATGCACATACTCATTGACAGGCACTCGCTCAAAAGTGGTGCCGACGCTGTGCCATGATGTGCGAGGTGTGCTATTCTCGGCCTGTCTCGCTGGTGAGACTTGGAAAGGGGAAGTCACCCAAGGTACAGGTGAGTAACAGATGGAGCTGGTGTTGGTACCCTGGCTGTTAAATTCCACACTGACTCACCCTACTCCCCAAGTTGAACAAATACACCATGGCAAGCTTAGAGATTCCAGCAGCAGAGGGTGAAGGCAAACCGGCCGATCTCCCTGCCCGGAGTCCGTGTGCAGGAAGGACCAATGGCTCCCTGAGAAGGACAGGCTTCAGGAAAGACCATGGACACCAACAGATTTGGGCCAGAGACACAGGCTCCACCAAGACAGAGTGGCCACCTCAGGGCACAGAGAATTCTCCATTCCTTGTGAAGACTTTGTTAGTGGGCATGGGAGAGATGGCGGGGATGCAAGGACACATGGCCTCCAGGGAGCAGTCAGCGGACAGAGACTTCCCCCTCCCTAGTCCTAATCCCAGACACAGCCTAGGGTCACTGTGGAGAGTGACAGAAAAGAGGTGCCACTTTGCTCACAGCACAGTTGAGAAACACGGATCCTTGTGAAATAACAGGGAGGCTATGGGTCAGGCCCTGCAGCTGAGGGCTGAGCCCGGATGTGTTTGCGTAGTTCCATGTCATCATCCTGGGTGGAGCCTGGGGAGGGGCTGCTCTACAAGCTGGGATGGGAGCTCTGTGGGTAACCCACAAGGCAGGGTGAGGCTCCATGTGTCCCACCCACAGGCAGTAGCTGCCAATTGAGTCATTGAGGGTAGGGCTAAGCCACCCACCACCTCCTCACCTCAGACCCTGGTGAGAGACCTCCAAAGGCAGGCCCAGGGATTCCCTCGGCTGCTCCTCAGAAGTCCCAGAGCCCAAGGTCTCACCTCTCAGAGTTATGAGGTTTGGCCATTGCTGGGCCTCAAGGGAGGACTTGAGCAAGTTCTGGAGCTGGGCATGAGGGAAACAAGCCTAATGTGGAAGGTCAGCAAGCTGGTCATACTGCACTATTCTTGCCTGTCCACCAGAGTACAGGTTCTGCGTGCATGGCTGTGACCCACCAGAGAGGGCGCTGTCAGCCAGCCTCCATGGGGCAGGCCACACTGCATGCATATCTTTCAAATAGCTACCATGTCTTTCCTCCTGTTTCCTGTCTCTCTCCATGAAGAAGCAGTGAGTCCCCGACAGCAGCACCACACAGGCAAGGAGAGCTGCACAGGCTCCCCCAGGGGAGGCCCAGCCCTCCTTCCTCTGTGGGCGATGCTGGCACTGAGAGGTGGGATCATCCTCTTTCAGGAGCTCCTCTAGATCAGAGACTGTTCATTCTTTTTTAATTAATATTGTGTGTGTGTGTGTGTGTGTGTGTACATGTGTGCATGTATGTTTGATAACAATTATTACATAGGTGTTTCTACATATGTCTTTTCTAATTTATTATTATTACTAGAGGCCTGGTGCATGAAATCGTGCACAGGTATAGTCCCTAGGCCTAGCCTGTGATCAGGGCCATCTTCCCCAGTTGCTGGCAGCCAGCCCTGCCCCACACCACCACTCACCCCAGTTCCCTACTGGCCAAATAGCAATGGGAGCCGATGGCTGGGGTAGGGATCAAGAGGTCTGCTGTTGCCAAACCGGTTTGGCTCAGTGGATAGAGTGTCGGTCTGTAGACTGAAAGGTCCTGGATTCTATTCCAGTCAAGGGCATGTACATTGGTTGCGGGCACATCCCCAGTAGGGGGTGTGCAGGAGGCAGCTGGTGGATGTTTCTCTCTCATCTATGTTTCTAGCTCTCTATCCCTCTCTCTTCCTCTCTGTAAAAAATCAATTAAAAACATTTTTTTTAAAGAGGTCTGCTGTTCTTGCCCGCTTGCCAGCTCTATCCCAGCCACTGGTCACTCTCTGTGGGGGGGGGGGGGGGGGCAACTGGGGGGGGGAAGGAAGGGGGTTCCCGTGGGGGGTAGGGCTTGGCCTGGTGCCACCCACATCCCCCGCTACCCATCCCTGGTCCCCATTCACCATTGGCGATCAGAGCCTGCTGGCAGGGGAAAGGAACCAAGAGGTGTACCTCATAGTGACTAGTCTAGCAGTTGTTCTGGTTATTCTGCCATTATGGTCACTGGGTTTTTATTGTACACTGGTAGAATATTTGTAGTAAAATAAATATATTATTTGCCATCTTAACCATAGAGTTCAGCAGTGTTAAGTACATTCACACTGTTGTGCAACCATCACCATCATCCATCTCCAGAAGCTTTTATCTTGCGAAACTGAACCTCTGAGCCCATTAAACAATAACTCCTCATCGCCCTCCCCCAGTCCCTGGCACCCACCATTCCACCTCTGTCTCTGAATTCTACTACTCTAAGTACCTCATATAAGAGGAATAATTCAGCCTCCGGTGTACGAGTGACTAGCTTTTTTCACTCAACAAAATATCCTCACTCATGTGGTAGCATGTATGGGAATTTCCTTCCTTTTTAAGGCTGAATAATATTCCATTGTATGGATAGACCACACCTTATTTTTCCTTTTTTAAATTTATTTATTTTCTTCATTTTAGTTTATTTTTTTTTTCTTTTCCTTTTATTTATTGATGGATATTCTAGTTGCCTCTACCTTTTGGCTGTTGTGAGTCATGCTGATATAAGCATGGGTGTTCTAATATCTGTTTGAGTCCCTGCTTTCAGTATTTTGGGGTATATATACCCAGAATTGGGATTGCCAGATTATATAGTAATTCTATTTTTAATATTTTTAAGAACCATTACACTGCTTTCCACAGTGACTATATTTTATAATCCCACCAACCATGCACAAGGGCCCCATTTTCTCCACATTCTCACCAATGCTTATTTTTCTGTTTTGTTTTGTAGTTTTTAATACCCATCCTGACAAGTTGAGATGGTGTCTCATTGTGGTTTTGATTTGCATTTCCCTAATGACTAGTGTGTTGAGCACTGATTCAAGTTTTTATTGGCCATTGTATATCTTTGTTGAAATTCAAAGGACTATTTAAGTCCTTTGCCTGTTTTTTAATATGGTTGTTTTACTGTTAAGTTATAGGAATTCTTTGTATATTCTGAATATTAACCACTTAACAGATAAAAAAAAAAGACTCCCAATCAGT